ACGTGCTTCCCTCTTGCGCCTCCTTTCCTTCACCTTCTCACTGTTGCCCGCACATAGGCTGCTGCAGTGGTGTTCCCTGTCCCAACTATTCAGCTTCATGTGACTTTTAGATAAGTAAATACATCTCTATTCAGGTGTGTGTGTGTGTGGTGTTAAATGGGGTTTTATATTTCGTTAGCCAGGGTGGGCTGGCACTCCGGACGGTGGCAGGTAAGGTGAGCCCTGCCCGGCCTTTGGCTCTATGTCCTGAGGCACTCAATGCAAACATTAAATTTGGTTTCTGTGGTGTCAGCAAACACATGCTTTGCCTGGTGTGATCTGCAGTACGTAGTGTACGCAGGTGAGTGCTCTGAAATGGTTTCCACAGGTTCTCCGTTCCCTGTGACTCATGAGTGCCTCAGACCAAAGACACAGCAGCGTCCAGGCGTTTCTCTGTCTCCTGTTGCTGGGAGTCACGCTTTTGAAAGTTTTGAAGATCGCTGCTGGTCTTTGCTTCCTGAAATAAAACTCCACGGGGTCCAGTTGTGTAGAGCCTGCTCTGACAGGGAGTGAGCATGTGACCTTGGGAAAAATCAATTTGTATCTGTCCTGGTTTCACAACCCCTGCCCCAGATACACTTCTCCCTTTCCCAAGTGTTTTGAAACTGGCAGAAAGAAATTACTGTTATTTTACATTAAGCTTGAAGGATGGTAGTCTAATACAAACTTAATTCATCTTGTTCACCACATTCCTATACTTAGCTCCTTTTTTTGTGCAGCGGTGAGCTGGAGTGGCTGAGAACATGTCAGCCTGGAAAGTAGTCAATAGGTAAGGGTGACACGCTGCTTGGTGGTGAGAAGCCCAGTCTCTTTGCTACTGGCTGCTGGGGAGGAGAAGAGCTTTGATATTTTTGCATGCATGCTGTTTCTTGCCTTTCTTTCTAGACGGTGATCTTCTGTAGTAGCTTCCAGCCAGGGAAGGTCTGGAAAAATAATTAAAATGCAACTCCCTCTCTTTTCAGGTGGAGTGGAGAAGTCCTTCTATCGCCTCCTCTACTCTACAATTTCCAGATTGCTATTAATGCAAAGGACGTGATTTTCCAGTCCCTACCAACCTCCATTTTTCTTTTCTTTTTCTGATGAATTAGCTTTAACCTGTGCCTCTGCTTCTGTTTTCAGTTTTTCTAAGCAGACTATGTGAAGAACTCCTGTCAGCAATGCAGAACTCTCCCATACTTATCAGACAGACTGATCAACAATTTGTTAAATTTATTCTCCTTTTCAAAACTTGAAAGAGGAATAGCAGTAGACAAACTGGAGCAAACTTGGCATTATCCATGTATATCAAGTTCAAATGCAAATAATGCATTTTCTTTAATCTTTGTTTTCTGAAAACAGGGCAGTTCTGGCATGTATCTGACCTACATTTAGATCCGACTTACCACATTACCCCTGATCACACCAAAGTTTGTTCTTCTTCTAAAGGAGCCAATGCCTCCAACCCAGGCCCTTTTGGAGACTTTTTATGTGATTCTCCATATCAGCTTATTTTGTCAGCATTTGCATTTATGAAGGATTCAGAACAGCAGGTTTCATTCATGATTTGGACAGGGTAAGTGTTCAAGTCACTCTGCAGTTAAAGGTTTTAACAGCTGGGTAACCATATAGCACAGTAATTCACAAGTATGTATTTGCACAAACAGATCAGAGTTTACTGTCTCACAAACGCTACTTTTCAATAGTCCCTTTAGTTATCCAAATGGCTAGTAAGTGGAAGACTGAGAATATAAGGCATCAGGAAGAGATTTCAATCTCTGTAAGCATTTCTGGATATTGTTGGACTGTTTATTGGGATATTTACCATATGACTGTATAAGTGCAAGTTAATAGAAATGGGGCGGGGAGGGTGGAAAGTGGAAAAAGCAAAAAGAAGGATCAGAGGGTTCCCAACTGACTGGAATGAATTATGGGAGGTATTGGATTTTGTAGGTCCTAAGGTCATTAAATCTAAAGTGCATCCCTTTTTAGAAGATACCCTTTAACTATATTTTATTTGGTTCTGTAAGAGGTAACTAGAATCAACGAATTCTATAGATTATGGTTGTTTTGTTTTTTTTTTTTCTAAAGTGTATAAACTTACCATTCAGGTTCAGTGCCTGTATGAATTCTAGATCAGGGGCTAGAGCGGGGAGGGTAACAGTGTTGTAGATGCTCTCTCTCTTCATTTCTATCACTCATAGCTGCATGGGCTTCTAGAGAAAGTGTGGTTTCACTGTCCCTTATTGCAGTATTTTGGATGTGTGCAGTCCCCCATTGTGTAAAACATTTACCTTATCTGTGCCAATCTTCCTTAATAGAAAATGGGCATAATAATACTCTGTCTCTCACACAGGTGTGATCTGTGAGGCTTTGTGTGCCTTAGTAGTGGGACTGGAGAAATAAGTGTGAAATGGAGGCATATGAGTCGCTAGATAGTATCATGCCCTCTTACTTTCTAGGTATTCATAAAAGCTAGCATTAATTTACCCTTCTGCCATATCAAAATTCTCCATTCTACCATCACATAATTTTTTAAGGTATACCTCAATAGATAATTTATCAAAGAGATTAGTGTCTTTGAGTGTTTGTGAAAACTAGTTCATTTACAAATGACGGGTTCTTTTTTGCTGAAAATGTTGTATATGTTATGTCACTTAATTTTGCTGGTGGAAGGGTATTAAGAAATATGAATACATAAATACACGTGATTAATTTTTTTCACTTACCTTCTATTTCAACTGGATGTTGTTAAAAGGAAAGGATGTTGTTAAAAGGAAAAATAAACTTATAAGGTTGTGCAGATGATGGAAGATATATAACCCAAACTGCACAGTAGCTCAAAATGATGGGAGTTGAGTGAATTTAATTTCTAAGAAATCTTAGTTATGATAAATGTGAATCATAGGATAAACATTAGTCTACTTGTTTGTGGGTTTTTTTTTTTTAAAGCCTTTACAGAGAGCCTTTCAGGCAATTCTATGATTTTAATTAAAGAGTCTATAGTAGTATTACATGCTCGAATGTAGATACGTTTGCAGAATTTTTTGCCTTTCCTTATATGGCTAATAAACCTTTGCTAATAAAGCCTTTTCCTTTTTCAGAGATAGCCCTCCCCATGTTCCTGTAAAAGAACTCTCCACAAAGTTGGTCATTAGCATCGTTGGCAATATGACTTCTACAATTAGTAATTTCTTTCCAGATCTTCAGGTTTTCCCGGCCTTGGGCAATCATGACTATTGGCCACAGGTAAAACAAGCTAGAAGTTTGTTTATGTATCATATTGAGTGTGTTCCTAACCCCTCAGAAAGCAGGTGTGAAAAATAAATAATTAAATTTGTGTAACTTTTATTCTGGAAGCAGTATTCTCCAGTTCTCCAGTTAGCATTTAAAATTATAAATAGTTCCAATCAAGAACAGAAAGTACATCTCTCTCTGTGTTGTTACCAAACTAATGCTGATGCCAGGTAACATCTGTACATTGCCTGAGGTCATGCAAATTTACTGCTAATTCTTCCTCATGGCTTAGAACCGCCAGGTCTCATTATAGTTGATACACATTTATTTTTTTTCTTGCTGTGTAAGTCATGCATGTGTGTACAGTAACTTAATCTAACAGAAATGACATCCTTTATGGATCTGTGAGCCCGTGGTAAGATTCAAGGCCTACTGGAAATCTGTCTCCCAGTAATACAGAATTTTTGTAATGTTCCCATAGTCCAACCCCCCTGCTAAAGCAGGATCATGTAGAGCAGGTTGCACAGGATCACATCCAGGGGGGGTTTTGTATATCTCCAGAGAAGGAGACTCCACAACGTCTCTGAGCAGCCTGTTCCAGTGCTCGGTCACCCTCAAAGTGAAGAAGTTTTTTTTCAGATTCAGATGGAACTTCCTGTGTTCCAGTTTGTGCCCGTTGCCCCTTGTCCTGTCACTGGACAGCACTGAAAAAAAGTCTGTCCCCATCCTCTTGACATCCACCCTTTAGATATTTATAAGCTTTGACCAGATCCCCTCTCAGTCTTCTGTTCTCCAGACTAAACAGACCCAGCTCTCTCAGCCTTTCCTCATATGAGAGATGCTCCAATCCCCTCATCATTCTCGTAGCCCTCCGCTGGCCTCTCTCCAGCAGTTCCTTGTCTTTCTTGAACTGGGGAGCCCAGAACTGGACACAGGACTCCAGGCGTGGCCTCAACAGAGCAGAGTAGACCTGCTGGTCACACTCTTCTTAATGCACCCCAGGATTCCATTGGCCTTCTTGGCCACGAGGGCACAAGGCTGGCTCATGGAGAGACTCCAAGGTCCTTCTCTGCAGCGCTGCTTCCCTTTTTTTCTTTCCATACTGGACACTTAGAAGTATTTGCATTGATAATTTACTGGATATGTATGCCATTGCAGCTGATGACAGTGCTTTTTTTTTTTTTACTTCCAGTGTTCCGCGAATATTGTTCTTGGCATAGCTCAAAAATAAACAGTTGCTTCATGTGTCCTTTAAAGCATATTGTGGGTTGGTCTGGCAGCACATAGGACTGAGAAGCAAATTCTGTCATTGGATCTGAGGGGATCGGAAGGGATGTGGAGCAGGTCAACTAAAATATTTTGTTTGAAATGCTTAATGGGCATCCAGTAACACCCCTTCTCACCCCCGAAGACTTTTATTCCAGCTTTCTGTGTTGTTCATGAGGCCTATCAGGGTATATCTTGGTGTAAGAGGAGATTGTATCATTGCCTGTATCATTGCTGGAGTTAGTGATTCCCAAATCAGGGAGTAACAGAGGTGCTCAGAGAGGGGAAAGGAAAATGTGAGAGACAAAATAAGAGCTAAACATATCTTGGAAATGTGAGTGCACAAACTAAGATGGGACTTCAGTCTCTTGTGTTCTTACTGTGGTAGTATTGCTTCAGCTTGTCATATGCCCTGACAGGGGACCACGTTGGTTCACCAGAAAATACTGGTAAAGTATTTTGATAAATAACACCTTAACTGAAGTCTCACTCACTGTTTTGTTTTCGTTTTGTTTTGTTTTTTAAAAACTCTTAACAGAATAGTTGTCATTCAGCAGTCTCCTTTGATATAGAAGAAAAAAACGTGTATACAATAATAACCTTGTACACAAAGAATGTAGTGACTTTTCCAACAAATACAAGATTGTGAAATTAAATCTGAAGATAGAAAAAAAGATGGTCACGAAGGGCAAACAGACAGCAAATAGTATTTTGAAGCAGGCTGCTGATTGGAGTAACTGTTGTAGTTCTCTCTGCACAAAACCACAGAGGGGTATTTCTGTGATATTTTGCTTTGAAATGACAGGCTTCACCAATGCACAGAACTAACATACTTTTCTGGTACTGTTAGAAAAAGACCATGGGATCAGAAATTCTACTATGGAATCATTTCAGGTTGTTGGATTTTTTTTTTTTTTTTTTTTTGCTGTTGATGACATTTCTGTTTTTCACATGGACATGCTTGGCAAATGTCCTGTAGACTGGAAGCGGTGTGGAACAAGCCGCACACTTGTAGGCTGTTCCAGAGCAAGTGTGAAAGCTGTGTGCTCACCATGCACCGAAGAATTTTACTGCTCTCTGTTGTGTTCTGACCCGTCTGTCTTAACAATTTAACGGTCTTGGGTGATTTTTCTTGCAGACCCTATTAAAAAGACTACTCAGATTAATCCAGCATTGGGGTACCTTTCAGATCGTATATTGTGACCTTGGTCTTCCTGCATAGTCTTACTTGTTTCACATCCTTGCCCCTGCTTAAAACAAATTCCCGAACTGCTGTCTAATCCACAAGTTCACAGAGCACTGACTTGCCTGGGTCCAAACCACCTTCGGTCCGTAACATGGCCTCTTATCTGAGATCAGGTTTTGCTATGTCTGTTAGTGACTGTGAGCTCTGGCTGAACTGGCATGGCTCAAAGCTTTCTTAATAACTGGTATCTGTGCGCTGCAGCAACAAACGTCTGAGCAGACTTCTGATTGCACTGCTCCTAGACAGAGACTTAGTGCCTAAGCCTCTAATAACGTAGGTTTAGTTTCAAAGATCTTAGAAAGGTCACGTTTTATGTTTAAGAAAACATGCACTGTAATACTGTTCCTATTTTTCAACCTCTGTTTTTTTCTTCCAGCACCAAGAATCCAAGCAGATATTTTAGGAAAGGCAAGGACAGGCTGGGATCTTTCTGTCAGGGTTAGATATGAGCATGGCTCTTAACAGGCTCTGGCATTGGGCGTTGCTTGGCTCAGACTGAAGAGTGCTACATTCCTAATTGGAGCCAGTGGGAGAAAACATTGACAAAACTTTTTTTTTTTTAAATGTTTTAAATGTTACTAGAATGTTACTTTGTTACTAGAACTACAGGATATAAAGGAAATATTTTTGAATGTCACCAGAATGTTTCTGAGAGCTGTAGTGGAGTTTTGGGGAGCTGCTATGAACCCAAAGTTGCTTGAAAAATTCATCTTCTATAAAAGAAGCTCATGTTCAAGCTTCTCCTCCAAGACTTTATTTTTTAGACTTTGAATTCCCAGTGTATGTATTTATGAATTTTGCAGAATATATGGTTTTCCACTCTGCTGTGCTCCTAAGGCCTGAAATATTTCTGGCATTAGTATATTAATGCATTAACAAGGCCATGCGGTCAGTCCTGACTAAGTTCAGGCATTTGTTCATGATCAGCAATACTGGATGTTCAGAAGTTTGGGTTTTTTTTTTCCTTTCTTGAGTTCCTCCTGATGATGACTGGATACACTTACATGTTATGCAAGAGGTCAGGTGGGATAATTTAGTGATTTTTTTTTTTTTTGTGTCTGTGTGTCTGAATGCTAAGACTTCTGCCCTCTCACAGGATCAGCTTCCTGTAACTACCAGTGAAGTTTATAATGCTGTAGCAGATTTCTGGAAACCTTGGCTAACCGATGAAGCAATCAATACCTTCAGAAAAGGTAAAACATGGCAGTAATGCGTTGTAAAGCTAGGGCTTAGAGAACTAATGTTTCTATAGATTTGTCCAGTTTGTTTAGCTAAGTCTCATAGGATGAATCAGCACAATGGATTATCTGTTATGCTTCTCCTGGAAGTAGTTTCTTGTCTTTTTGAATAGCAATGCTTATCTTCAAGGTATATTTATTCTCTTCTGATGCAATAATTACTGCTTCTTGTAACATTTACAGTATTATTTGCTTTGTACCAGTGCATCTTACTGCCTTCAAGACCTCATAAGATGACACTTTTTAGATAAAGGTGTATGATGCACAAGAAGAATTAAATTTGGTTGTAAAAGAATTGATGAAATATTGCTTCTGTTTTGACACTATTTATATGTATTTCAGAGTATATTGAATAGGCACATATTTGTTCAAGTTATGATAGAACATGTCATAGTTATGATAGCACATATTTGTGTCCAGCTTACTAAACTGGGACAATATTGATATCCTCATTACAACTTTTCTTTTTAGCAAAGGACTGAAAAGTTCAACCCAATTTCCAATCCATTCAAACATTAGGAATTTGGAAGTTTAATTTGTATTTTTGTGTCCTGAAGGAGAAGGAACTCAGTAAGGGTGGAAGTAGAAACTCAAATAGGAAAAATAAAACTCAAAGGGGCAGACGTTAAGTTAAGGTATATTGTTATAGCTCTGTTGCCATGGCTCCATTGAAGTCCACGAATTATGAAAATGCACCCACTGAAGAAGATCTGTATGCCATGGAGGAGTTCAGGAGCTTGGATTGAAAAATGTGATCTTTACTTTTTGTCATGTTCCAGTCTGAAGTTAAATGACATTCAACGTACAAGAACTCAAATGATTCTTCCTGGAGGAACCTGTATCTTTGCAGTATTTCAAGAAATGTGGACTTCTTAACAATTACTGTGTCTCTCAGTGTGGAAGAAATGTTACAGGGCACTTCTTGTGTGTCAGTTGGATTGTTGCATCTGAAAACTGTCAGATAAACACAAAGGCAATTACAGGCAAGAATTCATAAAAAATTCAGTGTCAACTTCTACTAAAATGTTGCTAAAATCAGATTCTTAAGATGTTCTGTTGTGATAAGGTGATGCATGGCTTGAATAGACATGCCATATTCTATTTTCTTAGAAAGAGTAAGGCTGGGTATTTTGTCAGTGCTGTACTTTCATTCTAAAGTTGTGCTTTGGAGCTTTTCATTTTTCAGGTGATGTTGGTCTTATTTTCACAGGTGGCTTCTACACACAGCTGTTTGAATCCAGTGATAGCTCTCAACCACTCAGGATAATCAGTCTGAACACAAATTTATATTACAGCCCTAACAGCGTAACTGTTAATATCACTGACCCAGCCAACCAGTTTGCCTGGCTGGAGGGAATACTAGAAACCTCCTTACAAAAGAAGGAAAAGGTAGGGACTGTGGACAGAACCCATAAGCATTATTTGTTTAAACTTTGAAAATAAAAAAAAAAGTATAGACAATGAAAATATAAACATGATTCTAGAAGAATGGTAATGCTGCCAAAGATACTGCAAAGTCAAAATTTCATTTTTAAAAATAATTCTTCCTTGAATATGCACATTATAGTACAACAATTAATAAAATAGTTGAATGCAGTTTCTCAAATCATACAGTAAAATACCTTTTCTTTCCTACTATGTAAAATCCTGTAGAAGCCAGGATGAGAATACTTCACACTTTCACTTTTGTTTCTGACTCTTTTTACTGATAGCCTTTAATTTTAAAATGTGCATTCTTGGCCTGAGACAAAAGCTAGCATATTTCATTTACATTTTTATGTAACTACAAGTATCAAAAGTAGAAATTGGAAGGAGTTTGTCAACCACAAAACTTAGCCAAGCTACAGCAATTGCTATGATTTGAGTGTTATAACAAATTGTCTTACAATACTCAGGTTTTGAAGTGAGATCGTAAGTTGTGGCTCATGTTTGATTGGTGTAAGGATTGGGTCATCATCTGACCAGAAGAAGTGTTTGATTTGAAACACGTTTACATTTTGCTACAGTGTTGTAATTTTAAAAATATTATATTGTGGTCAGGATAAAGGAGAGATTTCCTTTCCTCATAAAACTCTGCAGCATATTAGTTGGTGTGTGCAGTTGGAATCAAGTCTCAACCTCACACAGAAGGGTTGTAACCAGTTCTTCCATGTTTCTGGTGACCCTTTGACCATGCAGGCTCTGTAACATTCTAACATCAGTTTCTCTTACTATCCCCCTGAGATGCCAAATCATAACTCTTGCCCTAGTAACTTACTTTTTCATTTGAAATAATTGATGAAAATTTCCTTTCGTCTAAAATCACACATAGATTTATCAGAACTTTTTTGGCAAGAATTTAGTAAATTCACTATTCACAAGAAATCTATTTATTTCTTCTTATTATGAATTTAAACATTCTTTTTGTATTTTGTGTAATAAAACTGTTGTGATTTATAGCTTTCAGAATACCATTTCTAAGATAGCATTATTATGAAATTGTGGTAACCATTTCTATGTTACAGCTAAAAGTATAATTTTCAAATGAAGGAGCTAATTTTCCTTTCTGTATCCTTAGGTATATATAATAGGACATGTACCAATAGGATACTTACCATATGCAAGGAATACTACAGCTATCAGGGAATATTACAATGAGAGACTGGTAAAGATTTTTCGCAAATACAGTAGTGTTATTGCGGGGCAGTTTTTTGGACATACGCATAGAGACAGTATCATGGTACTCCTGAATGAAGAAGGTAATGATGCTTGTTGAATCCTTCATCTTTTTCTTCTTGATTTGAAGCAAATGAATACTTTCTTGCATGTTATTACTATTCAGCCTCTGTTATAAATAATTGAAAAAGGAAATTGGGAAATACTGCTATTTATCTACAGGAGTTCAAGCCTCACACACTCCCATTTTTTTCCAAAGAGAACCTTGCAAGGCAGACTGTCTTTTTTTTTTTTTTTTTAAGTCAGAAGAGACTCCCCAAGCTTCCTATTTTTTTTTTTTAAATGAATGCTTATGCCTAGACAAGAATTTCTAGTCTTTCCTCTCCGCTCTCTCAGTGACACGGGCAAATTATACTAGCCAGTTGCTATTGTGTAATGTGTCAAAGGGAATGTTCTCAGGCCAAGTAGACATGCTCTATGTTCTTGTGTTTCCTGCATCATTACTGTGCCTCTCTGCTGAGTTCCCTGCTGCTTCAAAGTTAATTAAGATAGGGTAAGCAGGAGGCAGGGGAAAGAAAGTCTCTGCCTGTTGCATCTCTTAGATCAGCTAATTTCCCTTCAAGAAAAGCACTCAGGTTTGAAAATTCTGTTTATTGCTTTGAAATCTCTTAGTTTTAAGCATGGGCGTGGCTATATGGAGCACTCTAATGTCTTTAACAGAAGATCTCGGTAACTGGTTGGATATTTGTGTCTGCACCATAAAACAGTGAGAGGTCCATTGCTTTGGTTTATGTAAAATACCCAAATATTAATTGGCTCTTTATCTATGTTTTAGATGAACTCATAAAAGCAATGCCCAAAATGCTCACTGGGGTAACAGTATTCTAAATCATCTACTTTTTTACATGGTGTTATCATGGAATTAATCTGCGGTAAAAAGAAATCCAGCCCCAGTGAAAGAACTGGCTTTTTATATATTTTTTTGTAAATGTTATTCAAGGCAGTCTTATACTTACATATTTTTGTACCTTGTCCCATGTGTGCATGAAATCATCACCTCTACTACAAATTTCACTGAGGACAGGCTGATCTTGGTGCCTTGCCATTACAGTTTGCATGTGCAAGTAACTGCTTCCAATTTATTTTAATAATTTTGCATCTTTTGACAAAATTTAAGCAGTGAAATTGCATGTAGCTAAATGCAGTTTGTGTTTATCTGCACAGATTTAGACTGTCTTCTATTCATGCCATTTTCCTCTTGACGAAATCCCAGAGAATTCAAGATAAACATAGTATTGTAGCCAACATCAGTGTACTAAGATACAGAGCTCAGTTTTATTTTGTCCAGAAGAATCTACTGATTTCCAAGCTGTCAAAGCTTCTGCTCGTATGTGGAGCCTGACCTTGTGATTTTGCTGTTGTCAGAGAAAGCAATAGTTAGGGCTTCTTTTTTGTTCCACAGAGAACCTCTCAATATACTTACCTGCATATTCTGTCTTATTAAAACCCATGTGTATCCTCATGTTTCAGTTGCTGTTGTATGGTGTTCACATACTAGCTGAGTGAAGTCAGGGTCGGGTGATGATACCCTGATGTTTCTAATATCATAAATACATAAAACAACATGTAAGATATAGCATGAAGACGGCAATAAAAGTTTTGAATATTTCTTCAGTAGAAATATGCAAAATACAGAGACCTCACATATAGGCAAGACCTATATGCACAGGTAGTTGAATTGGTGGGAAGCCTCTAGTGTAGACAGACTTAACTGGTACACACTGGAATGTGTACTGTGGTATTTTACACAGATGTTGGTCTATGCAGTGGAAGTGTAGAAGGAGTTCACAGTGATACAGCTAATCCAGGGAAAAAAATGCTGATGTACTTAAGTGAGTCACTCTGGTTCTTACTGTGCTGGTTCTCTACAAAAACATTTGTTTGAGAAAGAAGTGATTGAAAGGAAACTCTTTCTTCACCTTCCCTCTTCCTGCAGAAAAGCCAGTAAATTCCTTGTTTGTGGCACCTGCTGTAACCCCAGTGAAGAATGTATGGCAAATGGAGTCCAATAACCCTGGTGTCAGATTGTATCAATATGATCTTTTTGATTATAGCTTGTTGGTAAGTAAAGATTTTAAAGCACTGTTTAAGACTTTAAATATAGTGTCATTAAAAATTACAGCAAGATGTCAGCTCTTGTAGTGTTATGGTTATTTGGTGCCTACTCTTATTTTTCATCCTGAGCAAGGGAAAAGAAATCTGAAAGAGAACTTAATCTTTCTGTGCCTGCAGGACTACCCAGTACTTCCTGTTCTCTGTGGAATATTCTTATGATGTAGAATCAAAGACAGACAGAAATTTTCTGGGCAGAATCCTAAAACTATTTGCAGGGAGCTTTGCAGTGGTGAAAAATCCTGGGCTTGTTTACATACCAATGTCATTTGCTGGTGATAGCCAGAGCTTTGGGATGCAGTCCGTGAAATGCTTCTAAAGGGTATAGAAGAGCAGATGAAGAAAAGCACTTTTAACCATGTAATGTCTTTTGTAGTCATGCACCTTCCTATACTTTTTATAGGAAATTATAGATAAATTTAAAGGGGAAAAAAGTAGAATACTTCTGTAGTCTCATGTGATTTTTGGAGATAAAGTGAATACTATGTAATTATTTTGGCTCTGAATGACTCTGGTATTCTCTCTGTAATTCAGGGTAAAATCTTGACCTCACTGAGTTCAGTGATAGTGCATCCTGCAGCTTGACTGAAACTGGAGTTTCTCTCTGGAGACCTGTGCTAATACAGGCCGCTCTTTCTTGTGCAGATTTCAACTCCTGTATCTCCATCTATCCCTTTCCCTTAAATTTTCCCTGGGACGTTCTTTTTGCTGTCCATTCTGCCCCTCGAGTGGTGCCCACAGAAAAGAAACTTCTGGTTCTCACCCTGTTGCCCCACTCCTAAAGCAGACATGAGCATAGTGGAGTTCGGTTTACAGTTTGGCCAGGAAAGACCTATAACACTGCCAATGCTGCTTTTTGTGGCTTCTTTTTCTTCTCCTCACCATCCCCCCACCATTACCACACTGCAAGGACCAGCTTTGGGTGTAAGCCCAGCTCTTGGGGTGGGACGTGACCTTCTAGTCAGTTGTGAGTAATGAGGAGTGACAGCTTCCTAATCAATATATCACTCTGGAAACTTAATGAAGCAGGGAAGAAAGCAATACAGCCGTGCCTATTTTTTCTTTCTTTTTTTTTTTAACTGTAGGATCTTTGGCAGTTTTACTTGGACCTCAGAGATGCCAACAAGAAAAATGAATCAAACTGGAAATTAGAATACATTCTGACTAAAGCTTACGGTATTGAAGACTTGAAGCCAGAAAGCCTATATGAAATGGCCAAGCAGTTGTCTGTGCCACACAGCACACTGTTTGAGCAGTATTACAGTAACTTCATTGTGAGTTATGACAAAACCATTGTCTGTGAAGAGGGGTGCAAGACCTGCCAAATATGTGCGATCCAATATTTGGATTACTCCTCATACACAGATTGTATCAATCGGGAAGCAACATGGAGATGAAGTCTCTGTGCAATTTATGCTGATACTGACTTTAGCCTGTGATTTAAAGAATCTGCTCATCCTTTTGCTCAAGCACTGACATGGTGACAGGGAGCCTGTGGGACTTCACTGAATTTCAGGGGAGCAATAAATCCACATCTAAATAAAAGTTTATTTGCTATGTAATAGTGGCCAGATACTTTGGTTTTTGAAGTGTGCTATACCTTTAACAGGCAACTCACTATGTGGGAATGGAAGTTACTCAGTTCTTTGGAAATCCAAATCTCTTTTCTCAGGGTGTGTAAACGTAGGCAATGCCATTTCAGGCATGGGATGTGTATGGGGGCAGGTTTCAACCATCTGCTGTGACAATTTGCAAACTGAAATCTGCAAAACCCGCATTTGCTGAGACTGGAGTGCAGTTATGTTGTTGATACGGTGCCAATATTAGGTATCTCCCTGTGCCAAGTTTCCTTTTCCTTCTTAACTCCTTAAACCCAGCTCTGTTTAGGCGCATATTCTAACGAAAGCATGAGAGTGACTTAATGGAACACAAACCTCCATCCCGTAAATACCTAATGCATTTTTTCAGAATGTGTATCTTTGCCCAGCACAAAGTGCTTTTTTCTTACGATTGAGCTATGCACAGTGGTACAGCCATCAGGCAGTGTCCTGGTATGAGATTTTGCAGCAGACCATAAATTGGGTTTAAATTGATCAACATCACTGATTAGACATAGTATATACAGGTAAATGTGCACTTGCCATGGTGTTTCTCAGGTTTCTTTTTTCATAGAGCAGTCTAGTACTTAATGTGAAAGTTATTGCATATATGAATTTACAATTGCACAGACCACTTCTTCCTCTTCTTGTGATTAAATGTGTGCACAAGATGGTAATATTAAGAAGGCCATTTGTCTAGTGCGTATAACCAAGAAGGACCTTCACCCATTTTTCTGTAACATAAAAGCTATACTTTTGGAACTTTGGTCAATATAATACCATACAGACCCTACTCTAGATAATATTATTCCAGAGGAACTGGAACTGTGGAAGTGGTTGAGACAAATCCAATTGTTAACTGTTTATGAGATTAAAGCCTTTACTCTAGCTGTTGAGGAACTTTATGATTTTGTTTCCACCCAAGCTTGAAACATTTAGTGGAATATTTCTGGACAAATTTTCTAGGTCTCTAGTATTCGTAACTGTAGACGCAGATACCTCAGATTTGTCATGCATCAGTCTACAGAGGAAATGGTTGGTTTGTTAAATTTGCATTCAGACACAAATCCTCCAGTGGCAGTGATGTTTAGAAATACCATTAATAATGCACAGTAGGCAGTCCTGTATTTTAAATTCTGTGCTTGGAGAGGGTACGATGGGCATGTAAAATCTTTAGAGCTATCTTCTCCGGCTGATGATCTTGAGCATATCTGGATTTGTAAATAACCTGAACTAATGTGGGTTCTGTACAGACTGTGACTGTGAGGTAGTACCAGAAAGTTTCAGTGCTGAAAGCTGATGATTCTGTGTTGGATGTGTTTCTTGGTTGTGTTTCTCATGAGTTTGTTCATTAAAAAAATGCCTGTTCTGGTATCTGTTCTCCAAGGGCAAACAAGCAAAGCTGTGGGCGGATAGCATGAGGGCAATTGCAGCTGATAGGATAGCTGAGCTTCCTCCAATTTGCCAGACGGGTTTTGTTCAACTCAGTCTAGTGCTGTCTTTTTTCTCATACTGATTTGTTTCTGTGAGTTCTGCGACTTCTGTTTAAGCTTAATATATACAAGACATCCTGGAAACACTATAAAAATTATCTAGTTGTATTCTCTCATTAAAGATTTCTTTATTGCTGAACTTTAGCGAGAGCTGAATCAGAATAGTAGCAACATAACTCTAGGAAAGATTGATGCGCTGCTGATGGCTTCTGAGCATCTTGCTTCCTATATATTTTTTTTTTTTTAATATGTGTGTCAGTAGATGTTATTTAGTGAGCGTGAATAAAGAAATGCCTACAAATGTCTAAATAACAAGCTATGATCCAGACATTCTTTTTTTGTAATCTGGACTTCAATTGAAGCCAAGAGTTGGATGGCATCAGCCAAGGAGGTTGGTTTTGTTTCAGCCAGAGGGATATATCTACCAGGGTTACATTTAGCAAGGGTATGTGCTCCAAGGTACACCCTGTAACTCTCTGCTTCTCCTATACGTAACTATACTCGTGCAAGTCCAAGCATAACTGGTCAAGAAAGATCCGGGAGTATGTTTGACTGCATCATCTTGTAACTCAGATACGAACCAACGAGACAGCTTCTAGGAGTGTTACACTGTAAAAAACATAAGATAAATCACATGAACGTCTTAGATGGCACCTGGGTGTAAGAGGAAATAGACAGTGACCATGATATTTTTGTTTCAGGTCCCTACTTTATTCCTTCATGGATCTAGAAATGTTCTGAAGGTAAGTTATCCTTTCCCAACAGAAGGTTTTTCTAAGGAATCATAGAAAACACCAAAGAGGCGTGACCTGATAAAGTTGCTGACTCCTGTAGACCAGAGTCCCGTTTCACTTTTCATATAATATTTAGTGGCCCCATCTTGAATGAAGGATTAGGGGGAATATTTGTAAAGCCACATTTGACAGAAAGACAAATTACACCACCTAGTGGAGTAAAAAGCTTTTCTTTTATCTACAGCTAAACTTGAGGCATATAAACAAGGAGAGTAATTTCTCAAATATTCTAGGATTTAACTTCCAGTTTTTTGAAGGTAAGTAGTTTTTGAACTGTGTGTGCATGTGGCACACTTCCTCTGGGTACTGAATGGTTGCCGGGTCCTAGAGGCCATGTCACTTGATGGATCCTGAACCATGTGGTAGGTGCAGGTCTCAGCCCACATCCAGGAAAGAACTGGAGCCTATGAAAGGGATCCTCAGAGCCCAGCTCAGCTAGATGTGACGGAAACCAAAGCCGTAAGCAGGCTTCCTTCCACTTAATTTCTGTGCTTTAATTCTGGAGTCTGAGCTTACGTCTACGTTAATAAGTACTGCAGCCTAGTAGTCTTTTAACAGGAGAGTTGGTGCTGAGGAGCTGATGTGACTGCTGCACATTTCATTAGCAGTTGGAGAATGTTAGTGTACCCTTGCAGCGCAGCTGGCATCTGAGTTGCGTCTGAAAGAGCCCTCTCCAAGAGCCCTCTGCAACATGAATAAAAGCACAGTAAGTGGCTAGGAATTCTACCAGTTTTGTGATTTGCTGGTCTGCAAAGAAACCTAGTGTAAAATGAATGTTGTTTTCATACCATGTGTGAAATATCACAACTGTAGAAATTCAAAGAAAACATAGAGAAAAAGTAACCAAAAATGTTAAGCATCACATGTATGCTTAATTATATTCTGATGATTGTGGGAATGGCAAAGGCACTGTACTGAATGAACATTGCCAGTGTGCTACTGAGCACCATACATCAGTTCCTGCAAAAGTAGGTATCAGGAGAGTGGTCATAAGTAGGATGGAACATGCAGTAGGTGGGTGACTGAAATAATAACAAGCGAGTCACTTAAAACCCACAATGTTGAAATGAAAACCACTGGAAATGTGGCAAACCCCAGCCCCAAGCACTTAGTGAAGCAGTGGAGAAAAAACCCACATATACGGCCAAATTACAGCTTTTTAAGTGCAACTTACATTGCCTTCAGTGGTAGAGTTATATAGAAAGACTGCCTGGAAAATTCCTTCTATTATCTACGTTTCTATCAAGTTGTGATCTGAATCTACCTGTCAAATGCATTACAGCTAATTACTGAAATATTCCTCCATCAGCTGTCGTCCAGCTTGCATTGGGTAAGAAAATTGGACGCTGTTCTCATACTCTGTAAACTCCATGTTGGATTTTAAAGCAACCACTCAGACATCAGGAATAATTAAGCTGGAGAAGTTTCAAATGTGGAGCTGGGCAAAAAAAGTTTTTCCCATCCTGAAAAGCATCGCGAGACTTCAGTATTTCCCACTGGAATAAAGCCAAGACCTTGCTGAGGTTTTAGGCAGGGAGACATGCAAAGTTGGGATTTGCACCTGAGCCTACCACCCTCAAGCACTTGCTGTGCATCTGTCATGGTGTTGACTATGCTTTCTCCTTCTACGCTGGAACTGAACAACTTTATAAATTAAGATTTTTATTGGAACTGTTACATTTATATAAAAAATTCTGATATTGACACAGCATTTTCCACTGAAAACTGTTAAGCAATTCTCAAGAACTTCTCCCACATGCTATAAAGTTTGACAGCTTGCCTGTCCAACACCGTACATGCCAATGGGTACATTGCAGCAGCTTTTTTTGTCCTATATAATCTATGATTTTTGATAGTTCATATGGGCCAGATGATCAGCTTGTAAAAATTGACTTTAGAGCACTGAAATCAGTGAAACAATGAATTCATTAATAAAGTAATGAATAATCCTACTCAAGATTCAGGAATGGGTTTTCAAAAATACCTAAAAAATACTTCTGTGTGACATAATGCAGTCCCACCTGGAACTGAACAAGCAGACTCAGGTAGCAGTAATAGAGTAGCTGTATCAGTATACTGCTTTTCCTGGAATAATTCCCTCCGTAGCCCAGAGTGACGTGATAAGACAGCTATTCTGCTTCGCCTTCCAAGCTACCCTGGATGTTTGCCTATATAGTGTTGATTTATGGCATGTAAATACATACCAGCCGACTTAAGCGTACGAACCCAAACGGATTGTGTTCCCAGGTCTTCTGGTTTGATGTTTGTTGACTATAGCTGGACAACCCTCATACGGTGTTTCTAGGGAGGTGGCACACTCTGTGTCTTCTGGATTTTGGAGTTTACAAGACAATTTAGAAATGCTTGAGGCTTCTAAAGGGTGGCATTTAGGCTCTTGTATAAGCATTGAACCCAAAATCTCCAGTGTTCAGTCTAGCAGGATCTTCCTTCAAGTGGGGGTGGTGATAAAAGCCTGTGGTTGTCGCTCAGAATATAGGCAGAGACTCTTCTTCCAGATGGGTAGGGTACCTTAAAGCTCTTGCATGCTGCTCTAGATTTCTTATGCCTTATGAAGTGGGAAGCATCTATTTTTAGACACTTTAGAAAGGTCTTTCCTGGCCAACATCTCATTCCTATTTGGTTG